GGGTGGCATAGGGGGCGGGGCTGTGGGGAGGATGTTGGGTTAAAAAACTGCAGAGCGGGGCCAGGGATTTAGCTTAGTGGTTCTGCCAACTGCCTTGCAAGTACAAGGGCCTGAGTTCAATCCCTGGTACCAAAAAAAAAAAAAAACGGGCATGGTGGCACACGCCTGTAACCCTAGCACTGTGGAGGCTGGGTCAAGAGGATCGCTGTGAGTTCGAGACCAGCTTGGACTACATAGTGAGTCCTAGGTCAGTCTCAACTATACAGTGAGACCCTGCCTCAAAAAACAAAACAAAACAAAACATAAAAGACTGCAGAGGGCAGTGGAGCGGAGTAGGGCTGAGAGGGTGGGCAGGGCTGGGCCCAGCTGAAGAGCAGCAGCCAAAGCAGCCCTGGCTTCCCGTCCCAGGTGCCGGAGTGGGGAGTCGTGGGCTGGTGGAGCCGCTGTCCCTTGGGTGGGTGAGAGAGGCGATAGGGCTGCCTGAGTCCAGATGCACAGGCCTGGCTGCAGCCCTGGAGGTGGGGAGCAGTGCAGTGTGTAGAGGTTGTTAGAAAATAAATCCTGACCAGGTAGGATGAGCCAGTGGCAGCAGGGGTGCTGGAGCCCGAGCGCCTGGCATGGTCACTGCCTGGTGCCAGTGAGCCTGGCGCTCACAGAGGGAAGGGGCCGCTGAGCAGGGACTCGGATCTACGGCTCTGGAGTGAGCCTCTGTGCTCACTAGTTAACTCTGGTTGTGCCTGGCACGGGGGTGAACACCTGTCACCCTGGTACGCTGGGAGGCTGAGGCAGGAGGATGGCAAATTCGAACCCAGCCTGGGCAGTTCAGTGACATATTGAGATCCTGTCTCAGAGTAAAACAGGGCTAGGGATGTAGCTCAGTGTGAAGGCCCTGGGTTTAATCCCTAGTACTGCAAACAAACAAACCCCTACCAACAAAACAAACACCTCTACAGTTGTCAAGTCACTGGGGATGCTCTGGTGAACGGAGCAGGTGAGCGGGTGTGTCTATGCACCGGTAAAACTTTCTTCACAGAAACAGCGTGGCACACGCACTTTGGGAGGTTGAGGCCGGAGGATCACAAGGTCAGGTCCCACCTGGGTAACTGAGCTAGCGTTGTAGCGAGGTGGTAGAGGACGCTGTAAGTAATAAGAGGAAAAGAGGCAGCTGGAGGCTGCAGTTCACGGACACCGTGCCTAGTGCTCACAAGTGGGGCCTGGGCTAGAAATATAATTTGGGGATTCAGCTGAAGCAGAAGGCCCAGAAAATTATCATTGCGTTTTTTCCCCCCTTCAGTACTAAGGATTGAACCCAGGGGCTTTGCCTTGAACCGCATCCATTTCTTTTTTTTTTTGGTACCGGGGATCGAACTCAGGTCCTTGTGCTTGCGAAGCAGGCCACTGAACCGCTGAGCTAAATCCCTGGCCCCATTTCTTATTTTGAGATGGGGTTGTGTGCTCCCTTTGAGATGGTCAGGATGAGTTGCTCGGCTGCCCAGGCGGGACTCACACTTGCTGTCCTCCTGCCTCAGCCTCCCGGATTGCTGGGGTCCCAGGAGGGCACCTCTGCTCCTTGCTTTGGCACCGTCACTCTTAGCGGGTGTCAGAGATCTTTGTCACCCCCGTGGGGGCAGCAGGTGCCCACTGGGCAGGGTGAGGGGCCTGAGTGCAGCCTGGGGGTTCACCGGCCTGCCGCCTGCCCACAGCCCAACTGCTACGCCAAGGTGATCACGGTGGAGTCGCAGAAGAAGATCGTCATCTACTCAAAGCAGCACATCAACGTCAACGAGGAGATCACCTACGACTACAAGTTCCCCATCGAGGACGTGAAGATCCCCTGCCTCTGCGGCTCGGAGAACTGCCGGGGGACCCTCAACTAGGCCTGGTGCCGACCCACTTCAGGTGCTGTCCCCGCCCCTCTGGGCGCCCAACGCCACCGGGCCCCGCCCGCCGGCCCACCGGGAAGGGCTTCTGCCTGTCGCTGTCCCTTCCATTTCCCGAACGTGCTCCTTTCCGGACCTTTGTCCCCTCGGACACAAACCTGCGTCTATGTCCGGCCCCCTCCGGCCCGGTCCCTTGCCGTGGATGCTGCTATGTCGTGTATCCTCTCCTCCCCATCCTGTCTAGGAAGAGACATTCTAACCGTTGAAATGTGAAGGCAGAATCAGAGCGGGCAGCGGGGGGCTGCAGAGGCCTGGTGGGGCGTCCACCTCCCGACCTCATCGCCCCTTCCCGGGTGGCCGACCGCGCCGCCCACGCCCCAGTCCTTGGGTTCGATGTTTACTTTCTCATTCGGATGCCAGCAACGAGGGAGCCCCGGGGACCCCAGTGCGGGTGGGGCGCTGGGACGGCATCCCCGGTCTGCTGCCCTCGCGGGCAGGGCAGGCGGGTCCCTGGCCCGCCACACGGGTTGCCTGACCGCGCGCATGTGGCATTTTTGTGGATAAGCTTCCTGCTCCCCCGCCACCGGCAGCCCCTACCCCAGAGCTGTGCTAGAGCATATTTATTTTCGGAGTGAGCAGTTTATTTCTCCCAGAGAAAGGAAAAATCTTGCAGAAGATTTTAAAACTCAGATCTAAGTCTTTGACAGTTATTTTTACCCCCTTTCTTCCTCTCCCATCCTTTTCAGAGTTTATTTCCAGGAATTTATTTTTTTTCTTGTGCGTGTATAAAATCAAAGCGAAGGGGGAAAAATAGGTTTTTGAAGTTCAGAACCAACTTCTGTATATAGACTGCCATAAAGGACTTTTTCTTGGGGACATTGTTTCTTGTAGAAACATGTGGGAAGACTTTTTTTGCTCATTTCTTTGTACTTCAAAAAAAAAAAAAAAAAAAAGACACACAAAAGCAAGCCCCTCCCCGAAAGCAGAGCAGGCGTGTAGATAATTTCCGGGGCGAGAGGCCCGGTCCTCACCAAGACGCCACCGTGCCACCCTGCGGACGTCGGTGCCTCTGGTATCTCAGCTTGTGTCAAGCTTTGTTATCATGTAAATTCTGTACAAAGAATTGTTATTTTTCTCTTTTTTGTTGTTGTTGGTGATTCTGTTGTGTGTATGTGTGTGTGTGTGCGTGTGTTTTTTTAATTCCCCTCAGGCCCTCTCTGTTTGGAACTGGGCCCCTCGGTTTTCAAGGTCGAGGAAACCCGGGGCCTTAAGGTAGAGGGGAACCTGGGCACAGCAGCGACCTTCTCTTCCCACTGCAGTTTTCTGCCTAATTGTGCAGCCAAGGAAATACTTATTTTTCACACAAGGAAATGGTGTAGTGTGTAGAGACAGCTGATTTAAGTTATTTGTGCAGCCCCCAAGGGGCTGTCTTAGTCCTGTCCCCCTTTGGAGAAGTGGGGGACGACTCGAGGAAACCAGGGAACCCCACCTGAGCTCTCCCCCAGCCCCACCCTGCCCTGCCACAAGGCCCGGGCCCCTCTTCCCGAGTCCTCGAGCACCCCAAGAAGTGTGCAAGAACCCACGTATGTGTTGGCCCATTCTCCCCTCAGAGCCTTTGTTTGCATTGAACAAATCTCTACTTTTGAAGTATTGGGGATTCCTGCTTTTTTGCTTTTCTTCTTTTTCCTTTTCTCTCCTTCCCTCCTTCTGCAAAGAAGAGAACGGATAAACTTTAGGGTTGTTTGTGCGTAGACTCTGCCATCCGTATGTAACTTGTTTTGAAGAGAAGTGTTTCCGTTGTGGGTGTGTCTTGCTGTAAATATTTGTTCATATTTTTGTGAATTCAATACTATGTACCATTGTATTATAGTAACTTTTATAAAGCAAACCATAAATATACTGACTTTTCTTACAGACACGCCGTCTCTCTTGCTCTCCTCTCTCCCTCTCCTCCTGACTCTTTCTGTTGAGTGTGGACGCCGCTCACCTCTCACCAGGAGGTGGGCAGGCAGGAATGTGGGCTGAGGTCCCCTTCACACCATGGCTGTCACTCTTGGTCCGAACACGGAGTCTGTGCACTGGCCCCGATCATGTCAGACTGAACCTTAAGGCTTTGAAATTTTCCTTGTAGATTTATTTGAAATAAGACCTTAGGAATCCATTTAGGAAACTAGATCAGTTATCCTGTTGGCATCTCTAGAATTTGATTCCTTAAAAACGTTTCACAGTAGTCGGGCCTGGTGTCCTACGCCTATAATCAATCACAGCACTCCGGGAGGCTGAGACAGGAGCACCACAAGTTAGAGCCCAGCCTAAGCAATTTAGCGGGACCCTGTCTCAAAAGATGAAAACAGGGCTCAGGAGGTAGCTCCATGAAGGCCCTGGGTTCAACCCCCAGTATTGAGGGAAAGTTGAACCCTGGTCTGCGTTTGACAGGCACCGCTGGGGGAGCTGGTCCCTGGCTGTGGTGAGGTGGCTAGACAACGATGTGGAAGAACACACATGAAGTCTTGGCAGCAAGCAACACGGCTGGCAGATGCCGGGCCTGCCCTCTTCCACAGCAACATGAATGACACCCTGAGACTTTTTCCCGGCAAACTGGCCAGCGCCAAAAGTTACCAACTACTCAGAGTAGATGGGCAGGAGGCCATGGGAGGTGGAACAGCTACAGTCTTTAGGGGGAAAAAATGAGATATTGACAAGCAAGGTTTGAAAATAAGCTGGGTGTGGTGGCGCAAGGCTGTAATCCTAGCACTTGGGAGGCTGAGGCAGGAGATTGCTGTAAGTTCGAGGCCAGCCTGGGCTCCATAGTGGGTTCAAGAGCGGCCTCAACTGCATAGTGAGATCCTTGTCTCAACCAACCAGTCAATCATAAAAACACACAAAAAGCCTTAGTCCAAATTTCCACTGTCAGGAATAGAGCCCCATCAAGCATAAGGGATGGTGTATAAGGGTGTTCTTTGCAGCTGCGTTAGTTGGAGCACTGGAATGAAAGCAGAGATGCCTGTTACTGTTGGGCTGATTCTAGGAATTGTGCATCCAGGGTGATCCTACTGTGGATGGATTCATGGGCAAAGAGGAAGCTGGGTTGGGCCTGAGCCAGTAAAGACAAGGTACCTCTGAGCCATTCCTCGTTCAACCAGTATTTTATTTTTTATATATATTTTTAGACAGGATCTTGTCATGTTCAGGGTGGCCTTGAACTCAAGGATCCTCCTGCCTCAGCCTCCCAAGTGCTAGGATTACAGTTGTTGTACCACTGTGCCTGGTTTCCACCAACATTTTTTTTCTGGTACCTGGAATTGAACTCGGGACTTTGCACTTGACAGGCAGATGGGATGCCACTGAGTAAATCCCTGGCCCTCCACCAATATTTATTAAGCACCCACCATGCTATGTGTCAGATACCACTCCAGGTACAGTGATTGCAAGAGTGAAAAGTACACACCTCCTGTCTTCCCTGGATTACATGCTTGCGGGTGAGCACAAGCAACGTGAAGAATAAATGCTACAGTAAGAAAGAGTTAAGAGTGGCCACTGGGGAGCTGGCGTGAAATTTGAAATGGAGTGGTCAGGGGAGTCTGCGGGGCTGACATTTAAACAAAGCTTAGAAGGAAAACACACTAACCCTGTGGATATCTGCAAGAAGGGTCCAGGAAGGAGGGACTGCTGTGCAAAAGCCCTGAGGCAGGGAGAGCAAGGGGGCCTGGTGGCTACAGGGAGTGGGGAAGCTGAGGGGTGCTAGGGAAGGCAGGTGACAGCTCTGAAGACCAGGGTCCTGGAATTTGTATGTGAAGTAGCTCGCCTTTCTAAAATGGTCACTTGTTTGGGTGCAAGCAAAGTAAGTACACGTGCAAGCCAGGTTTGGCCCAGAAGCCACCACTTTGCAACTTCCGGTTACCGAATTCCCCTTTGCACATGGGGTGTCGGGGGGCACAGGACAGCGGCAGGAGAGTTTTGCATGGGTCGGGACCTGCTCCTCTTGGTTCTCACTGTGTTTTCATTTCTGAAGTTAGGATTCCAGACACCCTGACCTTTCCCTTTCTCATCTGGAAAAGAAAATCCCGACCCCCCACCACCATAATTCCCACTCCGTCCTGGCACCGAGGTCCACCTTCACCTGGTTCTGAGCCGACCAGGGGGGAGGAGTAGGGAGCAGCTAAAGCAGAACAAACTAAATTTGCCCCACCCCCCTCCTCAAACTAGCAATTGTGTTTGTTCTGTGCTGGGCTTGAACTCAGGGCCTGCAGCTTGCTACCTGCACTACCACTGAGCTACAGTCCTGGCTCTCGCTCATCTCTGCTTCTGAAGAAATTTTCTTCCAATGGTTTGGGGATCACTCTTCTCCCAGATGCCTCATTCTGTTTGTTTTGTTTGTTTTTGGTGCCTTCGATTGAACTTGGGACCTTGTGCTTGTGAGGCAGGTGGCAGCACCACTGAGATAAATCTCTGGCTGTTTGTGTGTTTTGAGACACGGTGTCACCATGTAGTTCAGGCCAGTCTTGAGCTGTAGCCCAGGGTGACCTCAAATTTGTGGTGAGCCTCCTGCCTCAGCCTCCCATGTGCAGGGATTACATCACTCCCAGCTTCACACATAACCTGCTTCCTTGTCGGCACTTACAATGATGGTTACTGCCTGTCCTTTCCTCTAGAGTGGAGGTCTCCTGTCCCCCCAGTTCCAGAAACGCCTGTGGCACCCGCCCCTGCCCCGGTCGCGCTGAGCCGCTGGGAACCCCTAACTCGGGCGCGGGCCCTGCGCTCCCTCTGGCGGCGAATGGCCGCCACTGCTCCTCGCCGGGCACAGACACCAGACAACTGACACCGCCTCTTTCCCAGGCCGCTTTACTCGAAAGGGTGGAGCTAGCGTGAGGACCACCACGGGGGCGTGGCAACAAGAGGGCGTGGCCAATGGGAGAGGCCGTAGCGTAAGCGTGACCGGGTAGGCGGGGCCTACAAGCCGGACTCCACTCCATTGGTCTCCACGTCGGTGAGGTTGCCCCTCAGGTCCTGCTCCGCCTCGAAAGCCTTGAACAGCGCGTTGAAGTTGCCGGCTCCGAAGCCCTGGAGCAGGGAGGGCAGATGAGCTGGGACCCCACAGAATCTGCCCTGTGACCAAGGGGCCGTGCTGGGTCGGCCTACCTGGTGGTTGTGGCGCTGGATGACCTCCAGGAAGAGCGTGGGCCGGTCCTGCACGGGCTTGGTGAAGATCTGCAGCAGGTAGCCCTTCTCGTCGTAGTCCACCAGGATCTTCAGCTCCTGCGGCACAGGGGGCTCCTCAGCGGGGCTGCCCACCCTCTGGCCTGCTCGGTGGGACCCAGAGCCAGGAAAAGACCGGGTCCGTCTCCAGCCACCTCCAGGTTTGTTCCCACAGGGGCTGCCACGGCCTAAGCCGCCCTCCGGACTGCACTTTCCTCTGATCTTGGCTGGACACGACAACCTCCCTCTGACCTTAAATTAGATCACGCCACTCATTTATTTTTAATTTTCATTATTTATTTACTTAATTTATTTTGAGGTCTGGAGATTGAACCCATCATGGCCTTTACACTTAACTACATCCCTAGTCCCTTTAACATTTTTATTTATTTTTGTTGTGAGACAAGGTCTCACCAAGGCATTAAATTGCCTAGGTGAGGCTCAGACTTGCCTCAGCCTCCCAGAATGCTGGGATTACAAGTGTGCATCACCACACCCCACTTGTCACTCCTGTTTAAGAAGAGGCCCTGGGCAGCCGGGTGTGGTGTCGCACACCTGTGATCCCAGCTCTCCAGCGGCTGAGGCAGGAGGATCATCAGGAGTTCCAGGGCAGCCCGCGCTACACATCGAGAGCCTATCTCAAAAAAAAAAAAAAAAAAAAAGGAGGCCCTGGATTCAATCCCCAACATGCCCAGAACTGCCCTGTACAAACTCTTCCAATGGAAATTGGAATTAGGATGTGTTGTTGGTGAGAATGCGTAATAAATAGTGCAGCTACACTGGAAAACAGGCTAGCAGTTTCTCGAAAGGTTGAACATAAAGTTACCATGTGACCCTGTGTTCCATTCCCAGATATATACTCAGAGAAGTGAGAACACAGGTGCTCAAGACCTTTTACACCTATGTCCAAGCAGCCAATAATTTGTGACAGCCAAAAACAGGAACAACCCATGTACCCACCAGCTGCGGAATGGATAAACTACATGTGATCTTTCCATATGGTGGGATATTACTCAGCAGTAAAAAGAAATTAAACACTGATACAAGCTTTCAGTTCACTGATACTGAACTTTCAGCCAGCAGTGGTGGTGCATGATGGTAAATCCCAGTACTCCTGCCTCAGGAATTTGGTGAGACCCTGCTTCAAAATAAAAATAAAAAGTGCGGAGGTTGTAGTTCAGTGGGAAGGTCCTAGGTTCAATCCCCAGGGTGCAAAAGAAAAAAAGCGGGGAGGGGGTGGACTTTGAAAACATTACTCTAAGTGGAAAAAGCCATCACAACAGACCATATTGTCTGAATCCACTTATATGAAATGTCTAGAATAGACAAATCTGTGAGCTCAAAGGTAGATTAGTGATTGCCTAGGGCTGGGGTAAGGGACAAGGAAATGGGGTTGGGTAAGAGGATTGGGGGGGCGATAAAAACATTCTAAAATCGATTTTGATGATAGCTGCATAACACAGCAAACAGCTATAAACTATTGAATTGTTCACTTTAAAAGGGTGGCATCTTTATGTGCTTTCTGTGCCAATAAAACTGTTAAAAACAAACCAACAAAACTTCCAGTGGTTTCTGAGCACCGAAGATCAGAATTCAGTCACTAACAGCCTACAAGAAGAATCAGCCTCTGCCTACCTCCTGCCCTAGGTCACTTCTCTAAAGTACCTTCATCCATGGGAGACACCTGGAGCCTGCTCAGCCTGCCTCAGGGCCTTTGCACCTGCGATCCCCTCTGCCAGAAATGCTATTTCCCCAGCCTTTCTCATGACCAGAGCCCTCTCATTGTATACATTCCAGTTAAATGTACCTTCTCAGAGAGGACTTCACTGACTTTCTAGTAGTCATCCCAGGCTGCATTTTATTTTATTTTATTTTGAAGCCGGGCCTTGCTATGTAGTCAGGCTGAGCTTGACCTCACTATGTAGCCCAATCCAGCCAATTCAATTGCTTGAATTTGAAGCAATCCTGCTACCTCAGCCTCCCGGAATTATAGGCGTGCACCACTATGCCTGGCTCTGCCTTTTAACTTTTGTGTGGCACAATCTCCCTCTCTCCCTCTCCCTCCCCCTCCCTCGGACCCTGGCCCCCTATCCCCTCCCAGCATGTAGCTCCTGTGCGCACCTGGCCTGGTTTTCCCCATGGCTGCCACGGGGTAGGGGCTTGTGTTTGGGGCCAGCTGGAAGTTGGGGTCCCCCTCACCTCCAGCATGTCGATGCTCTCCTTCACCTGGACCTTGGCCGATTTGAGGTTCTCCCGAAGCTGCTTGTAGTACGTGGATGGTACAGCCAAGAACTCCACTCCTCGTTCACGCAAGTGGCGAATCTGGCAGAGCCGGGCAGAGGTTGGCTACTGGTCCACACCGGGCCCAGCTGGGTGGTGTTCCAGAGTTACCAGCTTGGATGGACAATAATGGCTTCCTCCTCGCTTCCCCATCCCCTGCTTTATTTTCCCCCAGAGCACTCAGCATCATGTTTATTCTACCTATTCTGCTTATCACCTCCATATGGGCAGAAACCACTTGTTACCACATTTCCGTGAAACAGTGCCTGCCACATAGTAGGTGCTCAGTAAACACCGAGGAGTGAGTTGAGTGAATAAATGCAGCCGCCAAGGTCATGCAGTGAACTCTTGGTTGGGCCAGGATCAAATGGGACAGTTGGACTCAGTTTCCCTAAGAGCTGGACCCACAGACCCAGGATATTTCACTTGGCTAAAAGGCGATGACGGATCTTGCAATCTAATATCCTCATTTTCAAAGTAAGGCACCTGAAGCTCAGAGGGGGCACCGAACCCCCGGCAGACACACAGCAAGGCACAGGATCACAATCCTCAGCGTGTCTGCAGAGGCTGAGCCCTGGCGGGGCGAGGTGGCCCTGGCCACACAGCAGTGGCAGGAACTGGGAAGGGAGCCCCGCCATCCTCCAGGCCCTGGCCCGTCCCCCTCCATTTGCAGTTGTCCCTGGGGCCTCAAGAGCAGGGCGGAGTAGCTAACCGAGGTGATGATGTCCTGGGTCCCGAGAGCGATGTGCTGCACTCCAGCGCCCCCATTATAGTCCACGTATTCCTAGGAGGGGAGCGAGGAGGCCGCTGTCCCTGGCTCTGGCACCCCAGCCCTGGCCCTGGACGCGGCCTCCAGCCCCTGCTCTCCACCTGGATCTGCGACTTCTTCTTGCCTGGAGCCGGCTCGTTAATGGGCATCTTGATGGACTCCTCGTAGTTGGTGACCACGATGGAGCGCAGGGAGCTGTACTCTGTGTGCACCTGCGTGTCGTCCACGGACCAGAAGCGGTGGAACTGCAGGCTCCTCAGGTACCTGTGGGCGGCCAGCAGGACTTGTCGTGCTGAGTGCCAGCCTGGGCTGGGCCCCCACCCCTTTTCTTCCTTCTGGAAAATGTCCCTGACAGGCTCCAGATCGGGGCAGCGACCATAACCTCATGGATTTGTCCCTCACCCTGACAGGAGTCCTCCGAGTGTCTTGTAATAAAGTAGATTTTCTTGTTGCATTTTGTTGTTTTTGAGACAAGGTCTCACTATGTAATTCAGGCTGGCCTTGAACCCACTATGTAGCCCAGGCCAGGGATTGAGCTCGGGGTGATCCTCCTGCCTCAGCCTCCCCAGTACTGGGCTTACACCACCATGCCCTGTCTGCTCCGGTCTTCTCAGTGCAGTTTTACAGTGAATGAATAACTCAGTAGGCTCGGGTTGGCCTCCTCCTGTCTCGCACTGTCCCACGTAAGCCAGAACTCAGAACCGGGGCAGTCGGCCCAGGTGGAGGACAGGCTCACCATTCCGAGGCAGATACCATCTCCTGATCTGGCTGGTTTCCCACAATGTGGTCGATCATCTCCAGGCTGCAGCTGGGGCTGGGAAAGGAAAGGGCTGGGGGGTGAGAAGGCTGCCCCCTACCTCGGGCTGCGCTCCGACCACTCTGTAATATCGGCTCTTCTCGTGGGCCGGCACTTTGTATTGTGAACACATTAGCTGTTAAGATCCCATTTTGCAGATGAAGAAACTGAGGCATAGAGAAACGAGGTGGCCCACCAAGGTCGCATGGCCATGAAGCGGCAGAGGCGGGATCTGAACCCGAGCAGGCTGGTGGCACAGCCCCAGCTCGGGAAGCCCAAGCCCATGGAGGAGCAGGGCCGTGGCTTCCCCACCCCACTCACAGCTTGGCGAGTAGAGGGTCCTTGGCTCTGGGGGCCTCGAATCCGGGCAGGAAGCTGCCGGAGTAGTTCACCTTCTCCACCAGGGTGTGCGTGGTGTCCCCGTACTGTGGCGGAAGCAGCGGCTCAGCTCCGGCGGGCCAGGGCGTGGGGCTCCCGCCTCTGCGGGTGCGGGGCGGGCATGTGGAGGGGTGACCCGGGCCCTGCTTCTCAGGGGGTCCCGACAGCTCCCGAGGCCAACTCACCGTCTGCAGCACAGCGAACTTCACTTTCCCAAACTTGTCCTGCTCCACCCACGGCTCCCGCACGACCTTGGCGCCCCTTTCCCTGGCTTTCTGCAGGGGAGACCGGGTGGCAGGACCGTGAGGGCCTTAGGGCCCCCACCCCTGCTGCTGCTCCAGCTGGGCGACCTTGGGTGGCCCTGACTCAACTGGGGGCCCCAGCCAGCTTCAGCCAATACCCCCCATGCCACACCTGTGCCTCGGGCTCATTGGGCAGGCAGGGAAACTGAGGCCTCGGCTCAGAGTCAGGGCAAAGCACACAAGCCTGTGGGAAGTGAGGGTGTACCCTGCCTCTCGTAACACACTGTTGCCCCCTCTCCCGGCCTCAGTTTTTCTCTCTCTAAAAAGAGGGGGCAGGCCAATTGTACACACCTGTCATCTCAGGTACTTGGGAGGCTGGGGCAAGAGGATCACAAGTTTGAGGCCAGCCTTGACAATTTAGTGAGACCTTGTCTCAAAATAAAAAGCGCTGGGCCGGGTGTGGTGGTGCACACCTGTAATCCCAGCACTCGGGAGGCTCAGGCAAGAGGATCGCTGTGAATTCGAGACCAACCTGGGCTACATAGTGAGTTCTGGGTCAGTCTCAACTACACAGTGAGACCCTGTCTCAAAAAAAAAAAAAGCACTGGGGATTTAGCTCAGTGGTACAGCACCCCTGGGCTCAGACCCTGGTGCCAGGAAAAAAAATTTTTTTGGATAAGAGCACAAACTGATTTTTTTGTTTTGTTTTGTTTTATTTTTTAGATAGGGTCTTGCTATGTAGCCCAGGCTGCTCCGAACTCATGATGAGTCTTCTTTGAGGTTCCAGGCCTTGAACTCATGATGAGTCTTCTGCCTCAGCCTCCTGTGCTATGTTTATTTGTTGTTTTTGTTTGTTTGGTACCAGGGGTCAAACCTGGGTCCTTGTGCTTGCGAGGCAGGCGGCAGAACCACTGAGCTAAATCCCCAGCCCCTGCCTCAGGCTCCTGGGCGCTGAGATTACTGGTGGGTCCCAGCACACCTGGCCTCCCTAAACTCCTCCTAAGCACTGTGTTGGGTTCAGCGTCTTGCTCCAGAAATGCTGTGTGATGGGTTTCCTCTTTTAATGACTCAGTGAGGCAGGGGCTGATTCCGTTCTACAGAAATGGAAACAGACTCTAAATGAGGACATGCAGTTAGCCCTGGCAGGCCAGCTGTCAGTGGAGCTCAGGTGGGTCCCAGCCTGGCCAGGATCCCTGTGGCGCCAGCAGTGGAACTCTGCACCCCGCCCCAGGCCAGATGGGCTGCTGTCACCTGCACGATGTAGTCACAGTCTTCCACCTCGAAGCCAATGTCCTTCACGCTGTCCCCGTGCTTCGCCAGGTGCTCGCCCATCTCTGGGGATGGCAGCGGAAATGACCCGGGGCCTCGGGGCCCAGCCCCATCCCAGGCCCCTCACTAGCCGGAGCCCACTCCCAGGGCAGCATTGTCACCCCGGCCCTCACCTCTGTTCCAGGGGTTCAGTGGTGAGGAGAGGACAAACACAATCTAAAACAGAGGAGAAGGGCTCGAGTGAGGGCGTAGGCACAGCCCAAAGCACCCTGAGACCCTGTAGAGCAGAAGGACCCAGCCTCATGGGACGCCTGGATCACAGGGTGTGTGGCTCCTCCTGCCAGCTGGTGCCCAGAGATTGAGAACCTCTGAAGCCCTGGGCCAGGCTGAGAAGGAGGCTGAACCCGGAAGGTCTCAGATGAAAGGCTGCACATAAGGCTGAACTGTGCATCCTGGAACCACAAGCTACATCCCTACTCTTTTTATTTTGAGATAGTTCATGTTAAGTCGCCCAGGCTCAAATTTGCAACCCCGGTTTCAGCCACCCAGAATGCAGGGATTAAGGGATTACAGGCGTGCAACACTGTGCATTTCCTGGGATTGAACTAGGGTCCTTGTGCTTGCCTGGCAGGCCGCGGATCCACTGAGCTAAATCCCCGGCCCCCCAAAAAAGTTTTTTTGACACAAGGTCTCACTATGTAGCCCAGGCTGGCCTCAAACTTGCAACGATCCTCCTCCCTCAGCCACCCGACTGCTGGGGTCACAGGCGTGCGCCACCAGGCAGGGCCCACTGTGCATTTTGAAGCAGACGTGCTCCAGGTGGACCGAGGGCGGGACCCACCTGGCCCTGCTTAATCACGTGGCTCGCCACCTCCCGCGAGCCCGTCTCCAGGCCCCTGTAGGCCAGGGGCTCGAAGCCCATCTTGCTGCAGTAGAAGGCGGCGGCCTGGAGGACAGGGGCAGCGGGGCTTCTGAGGGTGGAGCCCTTCCTGGGAGTCCCCAGAAGACAGCTCCGCCCCCAGTGCCGAGACCCTGCAGGAAAAGGCTGCTCTCCGCCTTCCCCCGGTTTGCGGCCAGGATCCGCGCTCCACGGTGGTTTCGCAATGAGGCCGGCACCGGCTCCCACCTGGCTGCCCTGCCCTCCAGCGAGCCAATCCCCGCCGCCCGCCCCGCTCTGCCCACGCCACCCGCCGCTGCTACCTGCTTGGCGTTGCCCACCCAGAAGGTCACGGAGTGGAAGTGGAGGAACCGACCCCTCTCGGGCTGCAGGAGAAGACAAGAGGCAGAGCCAGGACCCCGGAAGTGAGAGGGGTCCTCTGACACCTGCGTTACCACGGCCTCAGATCCTAGGAGGAGCTTAATCCCACCTTGCCTGGCTTCATAGAATGCATCTCACATGGAAAGTGAGCTCTAGGGGTGCAGGATGCGGAGGCCCCCTCAAAAGGCAGGTGGTTTTCAGGAAGGAAACAGCTTTTGGGGGGAAGGAAACAGCTCTGAGTTGGAGCAGCATGATTTTTTTTTTTTTTTGAGACAGGTCTCATTATGATGCTGAGGCTGCCATGGAACTCGCGGAGATCCTCCTGCCTTGGCCTCCTAAACGCTGGAATTAGGCATGTGCCACCAGCAGCATGCATTTTAAGGTAGACTTTAACTAGACCCTCCAGACAGGATCAAGAGATTAGCAGGGATTTAAGAAGAGTTTTTCAGTAGGTGATGTTGAGAGTCCAGCTGGGGGTGAGGTGCTGGGGGAGCCCGGGATTGGTTCAAGCATGTGCACCCGCAGATGTCAGGTGCCACCGTCCTTACTCCTCTTGTGCTCTGGGTGCCGTCCTGGTCTCTTGTCTCCCAAGCCTGCTCTAGACCTGGCCCCCACATTCCCCTCCTGCTAACCTTCGCTCCTTTGTCGCTGTAAGTAGTCTAGGGAGAAAGAGAGGGACAGTGAGGCTGGGTGCTCCAACCCCGGGACCCTGGGAGGTCTCGCCGCAGATGGTCACCCTGGGGAGGCCCTTACCATGGTCGGTCGTGATCACGCTTTCCGCTGGACTTTGACAGGAGGCCCGGGCCTCCTGGACAGAGCTATTTACCTCCTGGCCTCTGGGGGGCGGGGACTGGGGCTCACCCTAAAGGCCCTGCCCGGAGGCTGCCAGGTCCCAGGATGGGTGGCGCTTGTCCTGCCAGATAGGGTAGAACCCCCCAGGTAAGAAGCCAAGTCCAGGACCCGGGTGAGGACTGTGATCTGTACTGTCAGATCCAAAGCTCAGAGGCCTTGGCCTCTTAGGTTCGGGGTGGGGGTAACTTCAGTGTTGCTACTTGGGGGGCTCGGGCAACAATTGGGGCCTAGTCTTAAAGCCCTGCTTGCAAAGTACAGGGCTTTGCAATCTGGCCCTGCTGCTGACTGAGTGACCGAGGAAAGTCACCAACCCCCAGCCTCAGTATGCCAGTCTGTAAGGTGGGAACGATTAATAGCATGATGGGCTGTTCTGTGAGCTAAAGCTTGGAACGGGAACTGGCACACGGTGTAGAGCCCACAGACTTTTATGATCTGTTTCTTTGGGATTTGAAGGGGGCTGATGGAGACCAGTGGCCCTCAGAGGCATGGCTGTAGCTGAGTACTGGGATGGAGTCGCGCTCTTGGCCCTGCCCAGGACCCAGCACCCCGCACCCCGAGCACTGGGAAGCTAAAGGGGATGGCCCTGGGGAGCACAAGGCCCAGGGCTGCTCACCCAGCATCCCCCACCTGAGTCCTCGGGTCTTGCTTCCCGAAAGATGGAGGGGGTGACTGCTGGCATTTAGCCGAGGGCTCCAGGACCATGGACCTGCTGCACACCTGTCCCTAGAAACCTGTCACTGCTTTGACAGCGGAATGTGTGGCCAACTGCCTGGGGGTGGGGGTGCAGGGCGGTGACCTTTTTCAGGCTGAGCGCTTGGCAAGTGGCAGAGTAGAACTGGATTGGGAACTGGCTAATTCCAACCCCAGGACTCACACTTTAAATTGCTGTGTGGTCCTCTGTACAAAGGGGAGCTACTGACGACCCTGCCAGAAAGATGGGGAAACAGACCCGGAGCAGCAAAACCCCTGTCCCCAAGGTCACAGAGCTGATGAGAACGGAGATCCAGACTCCACCTGTTAGATTTGGGGCTTCTTTTTTCTTTTACTTTTGAAACAGGGTCTTGCTATGTAGTTCAGGCTGCCCTTGAACTCACTGTGGAGCCCAGGCTGGACTCACACTCGAGGTGATTCCGTGCAGGATACAGGCGTGCACCACCACAACAGGCTTCCCTCACCGCCCATCCAGCCATCTCCCTTTCCCTGACTTTTCTGGACAGTTCAGGCGGCAGGTGTGGTAGCCCCGGGTCCTTATTACTCTGCCCATCCCAGGGGACTGGCAGACTTCTCCCCATGTGCACTTCAGCTCCCCAAGTCTGTTTCCACCCAAGAAAGCTGGGGCGGGGTTTACAGGTCCAAAAGCCTCCAGTGGCAAAGAGGGGCCCAGTGTGGCCCGTGTGACCTCCCCAGTCGCACAGGGACAGCTTGTTCCTTGTTCCCTGTGCCTCCCTGTTGGAGTCCGGCCTGCACACAGGTCAAGGTTCGCTGCTCCAGAAGCAAAGCAGGGTGGCACCAGCGCTCCTCCCGGCACTGGTGTGACTTTGTCCTTTGCCCCTCTGGAGGTGTGACCCATGGCAGGGAGAGCTGGAAGCCCTTGCCTGGTGTCCTCCAGAAACTGACTCCTCTGCTGATTTTGCTCTGTGTCCTTTTGCTGTAATAAATCACAGTCTTGGTGTGGCTGTCAGTTGGGTTCTGTGAATCCTTCTAGTGAATCAGCAAACCTGGGGGTGGTCGTGGGGACCCCTGAGGCAGCAGGGGTGGGAGTCGTCAGACCCCGACTCACTGAAATATGGCGAAGGCATTGTTGGGGAAAGAAAGGACACAGAGGGCGTCATGAGTATGAGATTCTGGCCGCGCGTTGGCCGGCTCTTTCCTTCATTCCGCTCCTGCTGGGAGCAGGCAGCTCCGGTCTGAGCCCTGCTGGGCTTCACAGATCCTAGTGCCCCAGGACCTCGGTGATCCGAGCCTCCCCTGGGCGAGGCGGAGGGTCCCGTGCTCAGGGACGGGGCTTCATTGCTCTGCTTCTTTTGCTGATCCCTCCTGCCATGTGCTTCCCGCCTGTTTCAGCCAGCTTGGGAGGGCTCATCACGGGGACTGCATTTGTCCCACCCGCTCCTGGCAGATCAGACTCTCGGCTTCCCCGGGGGCCTCGCTACTGCTCACGGTTCCCGCTCAGTGGCTGTTTGAAGCGGTGCCCTGATGGCCTGGTCTGCACCCTTCGCCTGGCTCTGGTGCATTCCATTCTGGGCCAGCTGTCACCATCTTTTCTAAAGGCTGCTCAGGTCCCCAGCCAACTGGGTGCCTGTGGACTCTGTGTCCTGGCTGCCAGCTCCCTGCCCACTCTGTTTTGTTTCCCCTCAGCACCAGGCAGCAGAGGTGAGGACCAAAGGACTGACGTGATCATGGATTGGAAGCTCCAGGGAGAAACTGTGGCTGGGCCAGCGACACTGGCCCCGTGAAAAGCACCCCCCACCCCGCCCCGCTGTTGTAAACTACAAAAACGTTATGAGGTCCTACTCGGAAAGTGGCATCTTCACAGCAGGCTAGAGTCGGAGATGAAACCCAGTATTCCCAGACAGGGTTGAACAAGGCACCATTTTGGGAAGGGGTTGTTTAAGGCTGAGCCACAGATTAGAGAGGAACTCTACTATAGAAGTTCCAGGGTTACCTGTCCACAGGACTGGGTGAGATACAGTCACGGGAGACAGCTGTGGAGAGGACGTGGGCTACCCTGTGAAGTTTAAATGGGGGAGGAAGCCAGGTGTGGTGGTACACACCTCTGATCCCAGCACTGGGGAGGCTGAGGCAGGAGGATCACCATGAGTTCAAGGCCAGCCTGGAATACCTAGTAAGACTCTGTCTCAAAAAGCAAACAAACCAAAACCAAAACCTTAGGCCTTAAGGAAATGGGCCTAGCTCTGCATGGCGAGAAACCAGACACAACCAACATGGATTTCAGAGGTGGCTGGATCTGAAGATGTTGGCAGTAAGTCCAGCAGTCTGCTTGAACTTCCACTCTGTTGCCTGTATCCAGCAGAGACCAATGGTCTGATTGCTTTCCATATCAGCCTACATGATCAAGGATTTACCTAGGGTTGGATGGTTGCCACGGTCTGGGGTGCGTGGACAGAGGGAGTTCTTGGGGCCGGGCACCTCCCAATCCCACAGGCCATAACGCTAGGTGAAGAAAATCATGACTTGCTGGATTCTAAGACTGTCCATTCTCACCTCTGCTGTTTGATATAGTACTTGAAGCATTAGCCAGAGCAGCCAGGTGAAAGAAATAAAATGGATATGTAAGGAAAGGAAGAAGTCAAATTATCATGATCTGCACATGATATGATCCTCTCCATAAAAGAGCCAAAAAAATTCCTCCAAAAGATTCCTAGAACTAATAACCAAATTCAGCAATGTAGCAGGATTCAAAATCAACACAGAAAAACCCATAGCATTCCCCTACACCAAAAATAAACTCACTGAGAAAGAAATTAGGAAAGCAATGCCATTCTCAATAGCGTCAAGAAAAATGAAATACCTGGAATTAACCTAACCAAGGAAGCGAAAGAGCTCTACAACAAAAACTACAGTGCTCCGAAAAAGGGGATCAAAGTGGACATCAGAAAATGGAAAGATGCCCCCTGCTCCTGGGTAGGCAGAACCAATAGTGTCAAAATGACCATAGTTCCCAAACTGAGACCCTATGGTTCCTCTCCAGCACCAAAAGCAGACAGGCCTGGGTGGGAGGAGGTAAAATTTTTTTAAATTATTGCGTTAGACTACTAAAATTTTTCTGTTTCTTTCCTGCATTGAGATGAGGTCTTGCTGTTACCCAGGCTGATTTCCAATTTGAGATCTCCTTGCCTCCATCCCCTGAGGAGCTGGAGTTCTAGGCGTGTACCATTGTGCCTGGTTAAGATGCACAGTTTTAATTACTGAATGTCTGTGTCAGTCAGCTTTCTATCACTAGAACCAACACCTGAGGTTCTCTGCTTTTTTTGGAGAACAGTTGACAAAATCATATATATTTGAGGCACAAAACATACACACATCTATATATTTCAGTACTGAGGATCAAAGCCAAGGCCTTTGTATTGAGCTACATCCTCAGCTCTTTGTAATTTTTTTGTTTTGTTTTGTTTTTGTTTTTGAGACAGGGTCTCACTATGTAGTTCAGACTGCTCTGGAACTCACTGTGCAGCCCCAGCTGGTCTCAAACTCACAGCAATCCTCCTGCCTCAGCCTCCCAAGTGCTGGGATTACAGGCATGCACAACCACATCTGGCTGTATTTTTTTTGTTTTTTTCAAATTTTGAAACAGAGACTCACTAAGTCATCAAGTTGCCCAGGTTGGGCCTAAATTTGTGATCCTCCTGCTTCAGCCTCCCAGAGTACTCAGATTATAGGGATGTGCCATCAAGCCTGGCTAACACACACACACACACACACACACACAAACACACACGCTATTTTTTGTTGTTTTTTTTTTACAGCAAAGAAGGGCAAAATCTCAGAGTATGGGAGGGTAAGGACAGAAGTACACATTCATAATCTCTATTTTCCATATCTGTTCCGGCAGCTTCCTTTTCTCCCTGAAAACTCCCCTTACCCCTTTGTAGGCTGAGCCAATCTTTGAACTCAGAATCCAGGGCCCTCTGGTCAGGGGCAGCAATCAGCTGTAACCTGAGGGCCCCCTGCAAGCACCAGTCTGGCTTCTTTGGGCCTTGGGGAGCCCTTGGGTGGGAGGCTCCTCAGTGGGCATTGCCCCAGTGGCTGCAACACCCTGCCTGCCTGGCCTCTGTCCTGTGTGTCGTGTCCAGGGACAATGAGAGTGTCCTCTGGGCTCCTACCTGTTGTGGGTGCGTCTTGGCCATCCTGGCACTGCCGCCGCCATCCTGTGGGGGGACCTAGTTGGCCTTGCCTGAGTCGGCACCATGCTGTGCCTGAATTAACATCTCCATTTGGGAGGACAAAGAGGGCTCCTGT